CTGACCCTTCTCCTCTCCAGAGAAAACAAGTTTAGAGAATTTAGTTTCTCCTCATACGACAATCCTACCATCCCAAGTATCATCCTAATGACTCTTCTCTGAACCTTCTCCAACAATTCAATATCCTTCTTGAGGAAGGAAGCCCAAAACTGTATGGCGATGTAATAATTTATCAAATATAGTCGCAGAAGAAAATGGTGAGCGTTTCCTGACACTCTTGAGCGATTAACAAAACCAAAATATATCTTGTTTAATTTTTCTTGTTAAGCACAAAGTTACACAATTCGATATCTGTGGGCTTCCCTGTGCGGGTATCGAAACCCTATTTTTATGTAAGCCCTTAGGCTTACCGCTGAACCATTGATGGAGCCATCAAACTATTATAAAAAAAAGATTAATATCTCATAATTAAATTTCATACATCATTACTGGACAAAGTGAGAACTGCTATTTATACAGTTCTGGAAAAAAACTAATGACATTACTAATGATCCGTATAGTGCAAGTTGGGCGAAGGAAAAACTTATTCTTTTAACCCTAAAATTACCGTTCATTACCAATGTGATCCACATATTGCAACATACTGAGTAACTCGTAACTCTTGTGCGTTTTTGCCGATTACAAACTCATTGTAAATAACAATCCAATCAAAAACTAAATGAATGAATTATTTTTCTATGTTAAATACATAAGTGACCCCCAAAGTAATTAGTGGCACAAATAGCATTTTGGTGGCATTTTTGTTAAAAAAACAAACAAACAAAATTGTGTGACTCATATTTCATTACAGACCGTGAAACCACTAACGTAATTTGCTGCATAAATAGTTTACAAAGATGTATTTAAAAAGCCAAAGGAATTAAACAGTCCTTATCTGTAATACTAGGATTACGGAAAACGATTCTCTGTCTCGCAACCAGTCCGTCAATTTATATGCTGGTATGTCAGCACTCTGTATCATAGACTAGCCATTTCAGCTAATAAGTATTGAAAAAAGAAACTAATGAGCTTATGGAATCAATTTTCGTATCATTTTGCAGTGCCTGATGATGTGCGCTAAAATAATTTACAAGCCTTCGTGTTTTGATCAACTCAGAACGACCATTCACTGGGGCTACTCGTTGGCCCGAATCAGAAAGTTCAGAATCCAGCCGAGATATGCCATTAAACACGCTCTACACTTTCAGCGAAATTACAGTTAATCCCGCTATTTGGTTTCTATAGTAAACGTATAAGAGATGGGTGCCGCCATTAGCACCAACTTTTCCAAATGGTCAAAGGCGCTTTACGTACTTTTGCACAGTTTCGGATTGCTCAGCAGCACTCTCAGGGAAGATGCTACTATCTGTTTGCCCCCTCCCCCTCTGGTCAACACTACTAAGTTAGGAATGACCATGTCCGAACAATGAAGTTTCTGATGTGGCCGTTCAGGTTGAAAATACCAAATACTTTGTTTATATGTTAGAGTCGTGGATTATTAGTTCAACTCCCGCGGTGGACACAGAATAGATAGCCCATTGTGTTGTTTTGCGAAAAAATAAAATGTTTCCTACAACAAAAACGTAATCCACAATGAATTATTTCACTTAATGTCATGTACGAATGAATACAGATTGGTATATAAACAGATAAAAAAGGTCTAAATTATAATAACGATTTCTTTTTATAATTAATGCCAAACTACACAAAGGGTTAAAACTCTTCGTTTTGAAGCTAGTATACAAGTTCGTGTCAACACTGCGAGTAACTGAACTTAGAAAGTTCGACCTCATTTTACATTTCTTATTTTTTGGGTTTTGTATCGTATTTTTAGTTGTTGTACAACAACCTGCCATGACTCTAGATTATAATTATTAACCGGTTTTGCAATAGTTAACCCTGTGTATCAATTATAAGAGGTATTGTCTGTACTAAGTTTAAAGCAAAAACATCAGTAGATGACTCGTTAGGGGTCTCAAATGAACTAAATACCTATATTATACACAGATATACTTACCTGTGCAAGTTGTCACGTGCGAAGACGAATTTCCACAAAGTTCCGAATATACGTAAGCTGCAGTTTTTAAAACTTTAAAATGTAAGTATTGTTAAGGCTCAGAAAAGGAACTTAGCTTTTCTCAAGTACTAAGTAACGTATAAACAGTTTACTGTTCCTGTTTCGTTATAAACTACTGACCCTGCACTGTCGCTGAGTTCTTGCCATTCGCTGTTATTTCCAAGTCTAGAGCACGTGCAATACGTAGGCGACGTCACTGTGTAGCTTTTACGCATCCACAGTTTTTAGTTTAGTGACTATGCCCCCGTTAGTGCGAATCGCTGTTACTTACTTTGGATTAACAAGCAAGAGTCCATATATGGTCGTACTGATAGAGGATTTGTTCTTTGCTGGCGCCTGTGGCGCTGCGATCGTGATATGGGATTTCGTTTACTAACGAACTACCTTGGTCGTACGACATCTGAATCAGTGAATGCAGTTTTCTTGAATAGCATTTGTCAATTTCCAGTTATTTGTAATTCGCATGAAAAAGAAAACCTACACACAATCCTGAGAAGAATGTAAATTAGGAAATTCAATCCAGAAAATACTTTTTTGTATATTTTCTCTCACTCTCTATATAAGTAAAGGTGACGTTAAAATCATCCAGCTAATTTGGAAACGTTGTCATCCAAAAACATTTTCTGTAGTTGTTTGTTTATTATTCGTTCTTCTTTTAGCGCAAAGGTACAAAATGGACTACTTGCGCTATGTCCACCGTGGGTAACCAAATTCCGAATTCGTCATCTTCGGATTTACAAGACGAGCTATCCTTGAAGGCAGAGCATAATTCTAAATTATTCATAAACAATGGCCTGTAGCTTCTTTAAAATGTCTAATGTACAAGAAATAAATAATATTTGAGACAATGATTAGTTTGACAGCAATATACAGTTTTATTTTTCATTTTGAGAAAACGTAATTCATTACAATGTTTGTTTGTAGTTTAGCACAAAGCTACACAATGGGCTATATGTGCTCTGCCCACCACGGATATCGAAACCCGGATTCTAGCGTTGTAAGTCCGCAGACATATCACTGTGCCACGGGGGGGGGGGGTCACTACAATGAAAACAATTCTTCTGTGAACGCTTGTGTAAAATGACAAATAAGATTAGACAATTTTTTCTTCGTTGACCCAATAAGTCCCTCGGTGGGATAGCGGTAAATCTACGTATTTACAATGCTACAATCCGGGTTTCGATTTCCCATAGTGGACACAATAGATAGTTAATTCTAAAACAAACAAACCTTGACACACACACACACAAATATTTTTATTTTAGGCTGATCTACAGTCTCTAATAAAAACATGTTTTACTTTGTAAAAGAAAAGAGTTATATAATTTTAGTTATAATTCACTACGTTTAGTAATGTGACACTGGTTGACATTTGTATTGTATATAATTCACTACGTTTAGTAATGTGACACTGGTTGACATTTGTATTGTATATAATTCACTACGTTTAGTAATGTGACACTGGTTGACATTTGTATTGTATATAATTCACTACGTTTAGTAATGTGACACTGGTTGACATTTGTATTG